TCGGCGAGACAGAGTACAGCATCGGGATGATTTGCTGCCATCGCCCATTTCATCCGGACCCGAATCATCGGATGGGAATGACGAGGCACAGAACGAAAACGAGGAGGTCATTCATAACCTACATTGTTTGCTTTCAGCGTTTAATTCTGGTTCGTAGCGCACATCCCCCTCCCCCTCTCTCCATTCCTACTCCATTCAGGGGATGGGGAGGGGAAGCGAAAGGAAGGGAAATAGTTCTGATGATGTTTATGAAACAGTGACAATTTGTACTACTGGGGCTTGCTGCGTATCGGTGCTCTCGGATGTCGACAGAAGCGATCCAATTCCTACGCTTGTCTTATTAGATATTCCGTGGCAACCTCAACCGGAGGAGGACATCGTCGGTCATGAAGGGAGGCATGATTCCGGGATTGCTGCTGACATGCTTTACGGGCTCCCCCTCCTGAAGTTTATCTGCAATGAGGTTGACGCCTTGCGTATGTCGAGTTTGGTTGTTCCGGTTGCCTTCTTGACCAATCGAGAGTTTGCCGCCAATGGGGCTTCGCCAAACCAAACCTACTGGTCAACCATTGATAGGGAACGATGCTGCGAAGAGCGGGAGCTAAAGTGTATTGATAACGGTGCCGTTGACGTACTGACCAGCCCGATTCCGAAGGAGAAGGCTAAGGTAATGTATCTGCATTGTTATCGTGCTAGGAAGAATGTGCAAAAGTCACGGAGGATTTCGTGGGTTGGACTTGATGAGCAAAAACCCGTGCGGGAAGCGAGCGACTATGCTTACTTGAGGGAAAAGATGTTTGTTGAATGCCTTTTCCGTGGTATTTGCGAAACTGGGCGGCTAATGGTCTTAGGGTTTCGGAATTGATGACGGACATCTGCAAGCCCAAGAGGACAAAGTTGTTTTCGCGTGGGAGGTATGTTTTTTTTGTTGCGGTCTGTCTGTGCGGGGCCCATTAGCTGATCGTGTCAGCAGCCATATGCGTATTTCTTCTGGCAGCATGGAAAAGATCAAGCGTGCCATTGGCAGCTGGAACTTTTCTGCTCACGATTTTAGTGATGAAGAACTTGTGCATTGCGCCAAGTTAATACTGGAGCATGCTTTAGAAATGCCGGGGGTCGAGGCTTATCGGATCTCGTCAGGTATGATCAGAAACTCCGTATGTTCCCACGGGATTGGGGTTTAATTGGTGGAATAGATCTCATTGTGGACTTCTTGACCGCGAGCCGGGCTGCATATAATCCAAAGATACCTTACCACAATTTTAGGCACGTCGTGGATGTTCTACAGGCTGTCTTCTATTTCCTGTTACAATTGAGGGTGTTGCCACCATACGTTTCGGACGAGTCTATAGAGCTGAAGCCACCGCCAGCGAAGAGTCTGAGCAACCTGCTCACCCCTTTAGATGCGCTCACTCTTCTGGTGGTTGCTATTGGCCACGATGTCGGTCACCCTGGGGTGAACAATGCCTTCCTGGTCACACTGAAAGCACCGCTTGCCCAAGTGTATAATGACCGTTCTGTTTTGGAATCCTTCCATTGCGCTGCCTTTTCCCAGGTGTTGCGGAGGTATTGGCCAAAGACTGTAGAGCTTAGGAGATCGATGATAGATATGATATTAGCCACGGATATGGGGCTGCACTTCGACTATATGGGGCGGCTGGACGAGATGAAGGCGGAGGTTCTGAAGGATGGTGGGATGGACTCGTTGAAAGACAAGGCGGTTTCGGATTATAGGACCCTCGTCTGCGCCCTACTGATCAAGTGTGCTGACATCAGTAATGTGGTCCGTTGCCCGGAATTCCCTTTTTAGCGAGATACGTGGGACACTAACTATTTGCAGGCACGAACACATGAGTGCTCTTCTCAATGGGCTAAAATTCTGATTGAGGAGTTTGCCCGCCAGGCCACCATGGAGAGCGATCTTGGGATACCATCGTCACTGGTCGCTCCGCCTGTTACCGGGTCTGTTCTTGCCCTTGCAAAATCGCAGGTGGGATTTATGACTTTGTTTGCTCTGCCCTTATTTGTTTCCTTGAGCGAAGTTATGCCAGAAATGCAATTCAGTGTGGATGTCTTGACAGAAAACAAGGCGATGTGGCAAGCAGAGATCGAAAGAATCACCACAACATCGGATGGAGCCGTGGATAAGATGCTCGGCAGCAGCAATGGATCGACGTCGGGATCGATACCGGCAAACGTTGGCAATAGGCAGGGTGTTGAAGATTTGGGGGACGGTCGGTTGGGTGCTAGCCACGGAACGCATGTTCTAGGGCCAGTGGTGATGGAGTCGTCTACCACTTTCCAATCATCAGGTAATTCTGGTGAAGGTGGAAGTGAGGTGCGCTTGAATGGTAATTCCCACCAATCTAGCCTTGGCTCGTCACGAATTGATTCACCACCAAGGTCAGTTCTGGCTCTTGAACCAGGCGTTCAAGCGTCGGCTGAACAACCTACGGTCACGGTTGTGGTGACGCAACCGAAGGCGCTCTCGCCCAACCCGCATGCGCTCCTCGACGAGAAGAGGCCTACACACCAGCATTCATCCGAACATCTTGGCGCCCAGGAACCACCTGAACAGGACATCCCCGATCGCCCCAGGTCGAGCCCGCCGGATTTGGGCGATCACTCGAGTGAGCACTCATGCCCGAAAGGGTGCTGCGAACCGGCAACCGTGGTGTCGACAAACACTATACAGCGCCGTCCGTCCAGCTTTTTCAAGAGAGTCAAGTTATGGAAGAGTTGGCGGAAGGAAACAGGTGAAGCATGACTACATGGCAGTGACAATAGCAACCACGGCGATGACAAAAACAATAACAGCAGCAATAGCAATGGCAACAAGGAGAGCAAGGGAAAAATACTTTTTGATTCAAAATCAATACCCGTGCAGGAAACCTCATTCCCTCTGACCCCGACGCCCCCGCCTGCTCCATTACCCTTCGAATACCCACCTCCACCGCCACCTCCACCGCCACCACTTCTGCCAGCGCAAGTGGCACAGGTGCTCGGCATCCGAAAAAGAAAAAGTTTTCATTGTTTCTAGTTCTCTTGTACTTGTTTTTATATCCCACCAACACAAACCCTTTGCTTAGACTTTTTTTTTTTTTTTTCTTTCTTTAAAAGGAGGGGTTTTCTAGTTTTTTTCCTTTCTATTATGGGTCCGGTGTAGGTCATTGTTGTTTTTCAGGCGTTCTTTCTTCATTTCTATATCCTTTCTTCATTCCTCCTTTTATGATATCCCCAAGTGCTCGCTCACAGCCGGAAACGAAAACTTGCTAATGAGCTTGGGCACCTTATCCTTTTTCCATTTCGCATCGATGGGCTGGGGGTAAGATTAGGCTAGCTTTGCTTGGGGACGAGTGGGAGCCGGACGAGTCGGGGATGGAGGAGGGCTGGACTACTGCTGCTTTTTTAGGCTGGGTAGAATATATTCTATTCTTTTCATTGACGGATACAATTCAGTTGGTATTTTCAACCCATACTTGTACGTTCTATTTTTTTTTTCTCTCCTTTTCTTCCATACTCAACGGACGGATGGGTGGATGGATGATCGGTGTTTGGCACGTGATGGACTGATTGGGTGTTTTTTCTTTCTTGGTGTTGTGTATTTGTAGGACAGGGCAGGGCTATTCCTATGGTTTGGTGTGATGCTGCGGGTCGTGCTGGCGGGTTGTATAATATGGGGTTGGGATTGTTAGGTCGGTTGGCCGGTGGGTTGGTGGGCTGGGTGTATGGTATAAGTGGGGCACTGTAGATGAACATTTCCTTGAAGAATTGCTTTATTCTTTTCCTTTTGCTTGTCCTTTTCTTATTTGGGGTTAGGTCTGGTTCATGGATTGTCACTCGGCTGTTGGATTGCATTGGACCAGGTTGGCGGCCCTGGTGGGGGCGCAGGGGGGAGATCGCAATGGGTGGGAGAGGGAGAATTGGAAGTGCTATGAGTTGCATTTGTACCGCGGTTATCGAAATGCCTGCCCTGGTATCATACAAGCATTTGGGTTGGGTAGAGGGACGTTACCTTCCATGTCCTGGTTACCACACCCGGTGAAGCTGGTAGGTGAGCACGGTAGATAAGTTGCGATGCTAACCCGATATGCCAGCTCTGACTGGGCACCGGGCTATCCATCATCATCGTAGCACGCACTACGTCAAGTACACCATGATCCCACCACTATTCTGCACGTCAGGGTTTATTTAGCCCGTGGTAGGAAGAATAGTGTACCCACCTGCCTCCCTACTTGCCTGGGGGAACTCGGCAACACCCACGAACGAAAAAAAGAAAAAGGAAAAGAAAAAACATAGATTATACACGAGAAGGAGCCTGTCCGTCCTATCCTGTGAAGTATTGTACCCTCGCCTCTGCAGGTATCGAGACAATCGCGCACACCTACCCATCAACGCCCTCGAACTCCAGGCCCCAGCCCTCCTCACACCGTACCCGAGCCATACTTGCCGACCGTGAAGCCGGCCAAGACGGAACTTGTGTTCCGTTCCATGTGGACCTCCGCGAGGAAGGGTTTAATAGCGAGACGAGCGAGTAAGCACTTCCCCAAAGGCCAACTAGATCACGGGCAGCAAGCAAGCATGTTAGCGGCGACGAATCTTGGGTACGTAGAGAAAAGCGTGGAGGGTTTTTTTTTCTTCCCCCCCCCTAATACGTGTTGTGGGCGAGGATGTGCGTCATAGGGTGTCACTCGGGTGAGATGTTGTTGTTGTGTTGTTGGGTTGTGGCATTGTTATTGAAAGGTATGACAACGTACTGTACTGTACTGTACCATGGGTGCAGAGTATCGTGAATGGGGGGGGGTCTGTACAGAAGACTCCTCATTCTTTTCTTTTAATCCCCTTCTCTCCCCCCTCTACCTTTTGTTCCTCCCACCGATCTGGTCTAAATCTCGTCCGGTCCGGTCTAGTCCGGGTTGGATGGTTCGGTGGTTAGTTTTTTTTATCTTTTTATTTTTATTGTAGGGGGTGGGGGGGGGGGGGGGGTTG